GGCTTAGGGTTTAGGGTTTCCTTTTAGGGTTTAGGGTTTAGGCTTGAGGGCTTAGGGTTTAGGGTTTCCTTTTAGGGTTTAGGGTTTACGGTTTAGGGTTAAGGGTGTGGGGTTTCCTTTTAGGGTTTAGGCTTCACTGTTTAGGGTTGAGGGCTTAGGGTTTAGGGTTCCCTTTTAGGGTTTAGGGTTTAGGGTTTCCTTTCAGGGTTTAAGGTTTAGGGTTTAGGGTTTCTTTTAGGGTTTAGGGTTTCCTTTCAGGGTTTAAGGTTTAGGGTTCAAGGTTCACGGTTTCCTTTTAGGGAAACCCATTTCCTTTTAGGGTTTAGGGTTTACGGTTTAGGGTTAAGGGTGTGGGGTTTCCTTTTAGGGTTTAGGCTTCAGGGTTTAGGGTTGAGGGCTTAGGGTTTAGGGTTTCCTTTTAGGGTTTAGGGTTTAGGGTGTAGGGTTTAGGGTTTTTTCTTGCCTCCTGGTTTAGGGTTTTAGGTTTTAGGGTTTCGGGTTCAGGGTTTCGGGTTTATGCTTTCCTTGAGGGTTTAGGGTTTCCTTTCAGGGTTTAAGGTTTAGGGTTCAGGGTTTAGGGTTTCCTTTTAGGGTCTAGGGTTTAGGGTCCAGGGTTTAGGGTTTAGGGTTTCCTTTTAGGGTTTAGGGTTTTGGGTGTAGGGTTCAGGGGGTTTTGGGTTTAGGGTTTCCTTTTAGGGTTTAGGGTTTTGGGTATAGGGTTCAGGGGGTTTTGGGTTTAGGGTTTCTTTTCAGGGTTTAGGGTTTAGGGTTCAGGGTTTAGGGTTTAGCGTTTTGGGTTTCCTTTGAGGGTTTAAGGTTTAGGGTTTAGGGTTTCCTTTTAGGGTTCTTTGTTGGGCTTCCAACACCTGTGAAAATGAGCGTGCCAAGCGACCAAAACTGGAGCGTGCTAAGCGACCCGAAAAAAAGTTGGCTAAGCGACCCCTCTACCCCAACTGCTTCCACATCATTCTGCGTGCTTCTCGATCATCCCGTCAAATGTGTCTCTCTGCACTCCAAACTGAAGGAAGGCTCACAGCGAAGCTTGGCAGCTTTCTTCTTCTCCTTCAAAGCGACATGCTTGAGCTTGCAGGGGCCGGCATCTAGCTTGCGAACTCGGGAATCAAAATTCGATCTTCAAAGTTTGGTGATCGGCCGCGGAGAGGATCCGAAAGAACCGATACCGAGGGGTCCTCCTCTTTCGCGTTTGTAATGGACTCGAAGTGCTCCCCGATATAGGGCAAAACCTGGTCACCACGACATGATGGGCTGCCACAAACAGTACCGATGTGGCTCCAAGTATCTCCAGGTGAGTTGTTGCAATGCATGTTCATGCCCGATGCCGAATTACCTCGCCTTCTGTTCGAGTTCTTCCACCGTAATATTGCCATCTCCATCCACCTCAGCCATGCAGAATCGGACTCCAGCCTCTGCTCAAACTGATGCTGCCAAACGTGCACCACGCGCCTGAAAGTTCTCGCGGATGAAATTGTCCATGGCCCTCGCGTGGAGTGGCAGCTGCACCGCGGCCACGGTGGCAAGCTCTGAAACGTCCAAGCGCCCTGTGCCTGCAATTGGCTCGTGTTGACTATGTGCTTGTGATTGCAGTGACCCTGGCTCACAGAAACTCGCAGCGTCGCTACCCGCGCGTAGGCCGTGGCATGCCGTGCCTTTCCAGTCCAGAAACGCGATCAAGGCTTTCTGGTCACTCATGGAGGGCATACTCACGAAGCCATCCTGACGGCTCGCAAAACGTGCTGAGCTGTCACTCACTATAGCTGTCAAGAAACAGAACGTCTCCGAGGCTCCACTTCTTGTCGTGTGGTCGGGCTTTGTCCCCAGGCGATCTTGAGATTGTCGAAGCACCCGTCCTTCCGAGCAGACTGGGATGAGAAAAAGACTTGGGGCCGAAACTGTTTCCAAGGAGCCGATGGAGCTGCATTGCCAGGGTACACGCTAAACAGCAAAGACATCAACACCCTGCAGCCCCGACACCCTGAACTGCCAGCACATGACAAAAGCCTGAAACCCCAGTTCAGTCTCGGATCACGTCTCATCAATAGAACAATGAGACTTCCAAGAAGACTGCAACCTCAACTAGTCGTTGGCTTTGAATTCAGTAGTTACTCAGCAGTTAGTACACACCAACAATCACGGATGCAATGTCCACCATTTCTTACGTTGTCAATGCTAGGATGCTCTTTGAGACTTCGAGACGTCTTGGTCCTTCAGCCGCTCCCCTGAAAAGGCCCCCTTGTGACTGAGCATCAAGGTGAAGCAGCCTGCACGACTACACGATGCAGATGCCGATATTGAGCCCATCGGAGACGAAAAGCACCAGCCTACGTGGTACAGGTCCCTCTCGATCCTTTTGCCCTGGTAGGTCAAGGCCCCCACCTCCTGGTGCAAACGAGGCCAGACTCACTGCGGTGCTAAACAATCGCGTACTGCATGTTACCCCCAAACTACATGAAGCGGCTTCTGCGCGGCGCAGGCCCACCCCCTGCTCTTCCTGGCCTGTGGCGATCGTCCCAGATCTTCGCAACAAATAGGACAATCCGCGGTCTCCTTGAAGGCGCGGACAAATGATGACAACTGCACCAGACAAGAACAGTTCCGCTGATCTGCTCAAGAAACTCCGGAGTCTCACGCAGCAGAAAGCCCGGAACCAGCGACAAGCTCGCTGGAGCTTGTTTTGCAACCCTTGTATGTCTCAAGTGCTCCGGGCGGATTTTGCAAACAAAAACTTGAATTCCTCAACCTGCCCCGCTTGGAAAGTACGCCCTAGATGTCAGCTGCAGCTTGCCTCGCAAAAGAGATCGTGACAAGAACTACAGGAGGAAGATTACAGGCCTTCTTAGCACTCGCACTCGAGATTACAGGCTTACATATTGCAAGAAGCGAATGGACCTAGATGCACTTCGGAACGGGGATTTGATAGTGACAGCCACCTGTCCCAAGGTGCAGGATCTGCTTTTTGTGCTTACCGCGGTGGCCAAAATGGCAGTCGTGCGTGCGAAGTCTAACGACCGTTAGACTTCAAAGCCAAAACAACAGGATGTGTGCCGTAGGATGCAACCGTGTGGATGACCCTCCCCTTCATGTGCGGAGCTCACACCGGTCACCACCCGACCAGTAAGCCCATGTCGACCTTTGCGAAAGGAAGCCTGGCAGCCTGCCAATCACTCCCACAAGTTTTTCGTCGCGTCACTTCACCGTCGTTTTCACACCCCCGTCTTCCTGCATGCCTCTTTCCCGGTCCGTCGACAGGGAAACAACTGAGACAGAACTCGAACAAACAGAAGCAAATTCTGCAAAATCGCTGACTGCCTTTGACTAACATGCAGTGGCATCAATCGAACACTACCGACAAACTGTCTCAAACTTCACTGTTGTAACGAGCGTCTTTTTCAGTCTGCTTGCCCGTTTCAGCTCCCTTCTCGCCGAACGGAGGAGGTTCGGCTTCCTTAGTCATTACATAGCTGCTGCCGGAAGGAGTCAGAACACCACACTAGCTGCAAAATCTCAGACAACAGATCTGCAACCACCAGCTATTCGTGCCGAGCTTCTAAACTGCTATCGATCTCTGGTCGCCTTGCAGCTCTGTTGGACTGTTCAACTTTCATCCGAACCAGCACGAGCAGACCAAATCGGATCCACAACAAAGCCTGGTAACCTGCCTTGTCTGAACTTTGAAGGACTTTGATCAGTCTTGCGTGGCATGCAGATAGACACTTCCAACAGCATGCAATGGAGTGAGCCCTCTCTGAAGTTTGAAGTGGTGGACTCTTTTGCATGTCCGACAAATCCAAGACCTGGTCCTCTCCCCCTTTCAAAGTAAATGACACATGAGCCCTTTTGGGCGGTGCTGCTCACGACATTCTTGTGAGATGATATCCCACCATGCAAGAAAACGAAGGGGCTGGCTTCAAGTGGTACTGATTTCTGATTAGGTTCCACACAATTTGTGTTGGAACTGGCTTTTTGCTGCCTTCTTATTATTTCCAGCCCCACACATGCCACCCCCCGCTCGCCCGTACTACCGCGGTTCTGTCGTTGAGTCATTCGCCGGCCCCCCCCCAGCTCCAAGTTCCACAGAAAACAAGACGAACAGCTTTCTTTCTACCGGGGTAACGCGCAGTATCAACAGCTTGCAACAGCATGATTAGGGGTTGAGCAGAAGCGTGCAATGCATCCTGCCTTGGTGGCTGCTGCCGCTGCAGAGCATCGAACCTCAACGGCCTCACTGGCTCGTAACCTTCCGCGGCACTACCATCATCCGACGTGGCATCCTTAGAAGCCAGTCCGGCAGCATCTATAATGTACAATCATGGTTTGGTCAGCACTGGACATGAGTTCACGCCAGGCCAAGCTACCTGTAACGCACACTGCGCGAGGAGGATGATCCGACAATTGCCTGGCGCAGCTTTGGGCTTTGGGCACATTTCACTTCATGCTGTCGCCGACAAGGGCGCACTGAGACAAGCCTGGCTGTGAGCCAATGAGACGTTTCACCTACTACGGCTAGTAGCTACGGAAACACTACGTCACAGTTCGCCGCGCCTTGGGCAGCGTCATCAGACCGTCCCATGATGCAAGGAATTAACCAGCATTCATCTCTCCTATAAGTCTCCTGTAGCTGATGCTCCAGTTTTTGACGTAGTGGTGAAGGTCAGAGTGGCCAGCCCTCTTATCTTTCGGCGTGAGCTGTGTTAGTAGAGCATGCGAAAACTAAATTGACCGCGTGCACAACACACACCCACACGTAGCTGGCTGTTGCACAAACCAGCTGAACTATGACGACCCTCAGAACAAGAACTCCCCACAATCTGTACAAGAAACCAGCTTGAGGAAGCGCGCATCAGGGCATCGTCACGGAACTGCCACAACGGCTCGTGCAGGAACACCTATCACCCCGGCTGCAAAAAAAACAAACTGATGTCGTGTGCAGCGCAATCTCGGCATACTCGAGAAACAGCCTCACACTGGGCGTTGGCTCGCACCTTTACGAAGAATACATTCTTCAAGCTGGCAAAGGCGTGGAAGAGATAGTTCTCGCTCTTCCAGAAGATTTGGCCGAGATGCTCGTAGTACATGGACCTGTTGCCCAATAGGCGCGTTGCAAATTCACCCAATCTCGACATGACCCGCGAAACCAATTTAATTTGCACAGCCCCGACGCAACCGCCGATCGCGACGGTGTACTACAAGTACAAATGCCAAGATGAAGTCAATTGATCTGCATCTACACGGATAAGGGATGTGTCTACTTCCCGCAGCCCCAACGCAACCGCCGATCGTGACTGTTTACTACAAGTACGAATGCCGAGCATCTACACGGATGGACGCCGGGTAGACGGGCACAAACGTTTGCCGGCCTAAGGTGCGGCTTCGGTCGCTGATTGACCTTCCGAAAGCACAGTTTGAGAGCAGAAGTCGATGCAAACAAGCAGCATGCATGGGATCTGCACAGAACACTGAACAGATAATTGCAAATCAACGGCACAGCCTTTCCAAGGGCCGTCATGAGATCACAGATCTCTGAGGAGGTGTTGTAGGCCTCACCTTGCGAACATATCCACTCTCGTTTACTTGTCCACAAAGGTCTGTCTTGGGGCTGCCACGCCAAAGGTCCAGCCTCAGGTGCATCTGCTAACTGAGAACGAATCTGCCCGCAAACAGTAGACAGCGCACGACTAGAAAAGCTACGCTCGAATGTGTGGAAAGCAGCTCTCTGTGCGGAATGCGAAAGCATTGCCTGTAGTTGCGCTCAAACTTTAGAGCTCAGCTTGGACGGCGGCTCTGTTGCAACTTGCATTTGACGGCAACGCCTCGGAACGGTCCCCACTGCTGAGCTGCTGAAACTTCAATAGTGCGGCAGGATCACCTTGCGGGTAAGGTGAAGTTTGCTGAAATGCAGGGTTTGCATTGCAGCGCAGCACTGCTCTTTCTACAAACGCTATTTCCCTTTCCCATGCAGAGTTCGCGGCTTAGCTCAGGCCGTATGAATCTAGGCTGGGCTCTGTGGCTCGTGAACTAGGCGGCCGGCGTCTCCAGAGTCTTGGTGATGGTGTCCACGTTGTTGGGCTGCACCTGATACACCGTGTTGCCGATGAATCTGCGTGCATCTGCGCGCACAGTGCCACGATCTCCCGGGCCAACAGGCAAGCACGACACAACTAGCATCTGTCTTGCTGGAGTCGATACAGGAAAGAAACGACATGGTCACCAAGCCCACGTAGCAAAACCTTACCACCTGGACCTGGATCCCGTAGAATCGACTTCACATTTCTGGCGCACCGGATTCTGTCCAGTAGGACCGGTGCGCTTCGAAAGGTCCTGGCCGGTAGTCACAGCAGGACACACGAGATCCTTGTCATCGGATGAATGTGGGAACTGTTCACGGCACCCCTTTCCCTCTGCGCGACTGGGACAATGCATGTCGAATCAGCACAAAATGTCAAGAAAAAAGGCCTGGAAGTTCTTCCTGAGAATGTCGCACAGGCGCTTGAACCTGTACTCCGGACGCTCCAGTAGTACAGTTTCAATGGTTCACCATTTCTGACTTTGGTCGGTGGTAGCTTGTGCCGATGCCGCGGGCCGCTAAGCACATCGAGTCTCTCCTCCATCCTGAGTCCCTGGCTCCTGAGGCCTTGTGTTTGCGCGGCAGAACTCGAAGGCTTGTCGCGAAGTCTCATGATAGACCTGCTCCAAAGACTGGCGAAACCAAGCAGACACATATGTTGGAAAGACTAAACGTGAAAAATGCAACTGAACCACTGTCCGACAGGGTCGGGAAGGGTCTACTGTACCGCTTTGGCTGTTCGAACTACTGTAAGACTTCAGACTACCAAACAGGTTGTGCTCCCCTTGCCGCTTCTAGAAATACAGCTTCCGGCAAGAGCCAAGATGAGGCACATGCAAACGGCCAAAAGCTCGGAACAGTGCCTCACATCTTTCGAAGCCCTACAGCAAGAGTGGCTTCCAGCAACTCGTAAATTCACGAGTTGCGGAAAACCCTCGCGGCAGCCGCTGACAAACTAGTTCCGTTTCTTATGCAAGCCCTTCAGAGGTGATACAATAGTACACTCAAGCGGCTTGCAAATCGCCTCCAAAGTTCTTTGGCATGGCGGCTGACACTCCGTGAATCGTCTTTTACTGGAGTTTGCCTCCATTCGAAGATCTATGTGCACGTCTCGACAAAGTCAAGTCATTTTTGCATCCAGCCTGACACAGCCTCTGCTGGGAACAAAGTCAAGTCCAAGTACCGAAACCATTCAACCCCAACGTTTGCACGCAGGTGAGGCATTTATCTTTCCGAATGCAAAAGACCAGCCTGTCAAGAACGTGTGCTGCCTAAAACCTTCTTGGCGGCGACAAAGCCGCACTGTAGGCCACAAAATCTCTTGGCGTAGCTCGACGATGTTACCTCCCACTGACAAGCTGAAGAGCCTCCTCGAGTCGGCTGTTGGACTTCAGCACATCCAAGATCACCTTCCAATAGAGTCAAAAGCAGGAGCCAGGCTCTCTCCCGAGAGTTTGGCTCTGGAGTTTGGCTGTGCCCGCACAAAAGGGGCCACAGCACAATGTAGTCAACTCACAGTTCGTGGCCTTGTAGGTTTCCCACAGGAAACGGAAGTGGGTGTGCACATCCTTGTCCTCCCGGGTTGCTGCGAGCATGACTTTGCAAACAAGCCCGGCTGTAGGAGCAAAAGAATGGATCCCACCCGGACCTGGCTCTGCTGGCGCGTGTCCCCTGCTTGGATGGCCTGGAGCAAGATGGTCTCGGGCCTCGGTGTCTAGTCAGTCATGGTCTCTCTGGACAAGGGCCAGTTGACGACACAAAAAGCCTTTTTTTCTCATCTCTGCGACTCACGAGAGCCGGGCTGTGTGTCTACGCAGACAATTCGAGTGATTTCACTCACAAAATTCGAGGATTAATCAGCGCTGGATGAACTGCATGGAGCTGATCGCACCGAGGAAGAAAACAGTGGGCACCACCAGGGCATGGATGGCCAGCCAGCGGAAGGTGAAGATCGGGTAGGCCACGGGAGTCCTCGCATCACACAGCAAGAATCACAACAGAAGCTGACTACCCCTGTTCTCCGCAGCTCCTGGCCACCGCTGGCGCATCGCCCTCCGCGAAGCGTGTCACGCGGCCCTGGCGGGCTGCGGCGCCGACGGCAGCGGCGGCGTAGCCAACGCTGGCACCGAAGACGACGGAAGAGAAGGGGCTGGAGGCCTCGTCGACCTTCTCCTGAGCTCTTGCAACCGGCGCCTGGTACTTCACGCTGCCCTGCTGCGCTGGTGGGACGAAGGCCACGGCAGCGGTGCAGGAAGCCAGGAAGAGCAGGGCACGGATCATGGCTGCGAAAAGCAAATCAAAAGGCCAAGCTCCTGGTTCTCGCTTGAATGCCCACTTGAGCCAGTCAACACGTGTCTATTTGGCTTCTGCCCTTCCGGACGGCAGCAGAACTTCACCTGCCGAACGTCAAACGGGCGAGAGCCGTGGCTTCGGACAAACTGCGCTGACCATGCAGCCTCTGCTGGAGGACTGTAGAAACGGACAGGGCAAAGGAAGAGTTCTCACATTTTACCCACGCAACTAATGTCGTCTTTGGGCCTTGTACGTCGGTTGCAGATCTCCTACTTCCTTGTGGAATGGAGCATTAGCTTCCACGGGATTGGCGTCAACTCCTGCTGTACAAGGAAAAACCAGGAGTTACGAAAACTCGGGTCCCGGGTTCTTGGAAACCCGTAGCAAAACGGGCTCAGCGCTGGATGAACTGCATGGAGCTGATCGCACCGAGGAAGAAAACTGTGGGCACCACCAGGGCATGGATGGCCAGCCAGCGGAAGGTGAAGATCGGGTAGGCCACGGGAGTCCTCGCATCACACAGCAAGAATCACAACAGAAGCTGACTACCCCTGTTCTCCGCAGCTCCTGGCCACCGCTGGCGCATCGCCCTCCGCGAAGCGTGTCACGCGGCCCTGGCGGGCTGCGGCGCCGACGGCAGCGGCGGCGTAGCCAACGCTGGCACCGAAGACGACGGAAGAGAAGGGGCTGGAGGCCTCGTCGACCTTCTCCTGAGCTCTTGCAACCGGCGCCTGGTACTTCACGCTGCCCTGCTGCGCTGGTGGGACGAAGGCCACGGCAGCGGTGCAGGAAGCCAGGAAGAGCAGGGCACGGATCATGGCTGCGAAAAGCAAATCAAAAGGCCAAGCTCCTGGTTCTCGCTTGAATGCCCACTTGAGCCAGTCAACACGTGTCTATTTGGCTTCTGCCCTTCCGGACGGCAGCAGAACTTCACCTGCCGAACGTCAAACGGGCGAGAGCCGTGGCTTCGGACAAACTGCGCTGACCATGCAGCCTCTGCTGGAGGACTGTAGAAACGGACAGGGCAAAGGAAGAGTTCTCACATTTTACCCACGCAACTAATGTCGTCTTTGGGCCTTGTACGTCGGTTGCAGATCTCCTACTTCCTTGTGGAATGGAGCATTAGCTTCCACGGGATTGGCGTCAACTCCTGCTGTACAAGGAAAAACCAGGAGTTACGAAAACTCGGGTCCCGGGTTCTTGGAAACCCGTAGCAAAACGGGCTCAGCGCTGGATGAACTGCATGGAGCTGATCGCACCGAGGAAGAAAACAGTGGGCACCACCAGGGCATGGATGGCCAGCCAGCGGAAGGTGAAGATCGGGTAGGCCACGGGAGTCCTCGCATCACACAGCAAGAATCACAACAGAAGCTGACTACCCCTGTTCTAGGCAGCTCCTGGCCACCGCTGGCGCATCGCCCTCCGCGAAGCGTGTCACGCGGCCCTGGCGGGCTGCGGCGCCGACGGCAGCGGCGGCGTAGCCAACGCTGGCACCGAAGACGACGGAAGAGAAGGGGCTGGAGGCCTCGTCGACCTTCTCCTGAGCTCTTGCAACCGGCGCCTGGTACTTCACGCTGCCCTGCTGCGCTGGTGGGACGAAGGCCACGGCAGCGGTGCAGGAAGCCAGGAAGAGCAGGGCACGGATCATGACTGTGAGAAGCAAATCAAAAGGCCAAGCTCCTGGTTCCCGCTTGAATGCCCACTTGAGCCAAGCCAAACACATCCTCTCAGCTTTGGGCTTAACTCATAAGTCGCAGGAGACTTAGTAAGTAGGGTTATGATTGGGGCTAAAAGTGCCCTAAGTAGGATTCTCCCAAGCCTAACCCTGCAAAAAAAACTTCCTTACAAAGTCCCGTGAGCCTTTAAGTACCCCTACATGTATGTTTCATGAACAGTCCTTCCTGCGCTTCCAGTCTTTTTCGCTCCGCTTCAAGACGAGAGTGGCATGCAGGCACCGCAATATTTATGCGAGTGCCTCGTCCAGGGCGTGGTGGGAGGGCCACAAAAGCTGCACAGTCGAAATGTTCATGTTCGTTCATGAACAGTCCTTCCTGCGCTTCCAGTCTTTTTCGCTCCGCTTCAAGACGAGAGTGGCATGCAGGCACCGCAATATTTATGCGAGTGCCTCGTCCACCACCCCGCCCGGCTACAGCTGTCAAGAAAGCCTCGAGGGCTGAGCAGATGTGCGCTGGGCCGCAACGAAGAAGAAAGGAAAACAACTCTGGCCGCTTCGATCGCCTCCTTGGCATGTCTCGGCAACGAGGGCAGGATGGAGCCTGCCGCAACTTCCTGCAGATAAAAGGCTAAAGTAGCCTGGCTCTGCAACCGCATCTTCCACTGCAAGCTTGGGATGTCAACTCCGTTCTGGTAAGAGGCAACCGCACCACCTCCTCGAAGGCTGCCCGGTGTCAGCTTATGCGTCTGAGCGATTCCCAGACGCTCGAGGAGATGGTCCCAGCGTCGTCGGTACACAGCAGGGCTACCGTGATAGATTCCGCTGTGTTTGGAAAGTCCAGAACAAACTCGAGTGACAAACTCTGCAACTCCGGCCTCGAGGACGATGCTGACGTGTTGGATCCTCGGCCCACGGCCTCTGGTCTTGGGCTCAACGATCTGGAGAAAGAACCTGTGGTCTGCCCTTAGCAAGTCGCACGGCATTTGAAGATCTTTCCGGCGGGCCTTCAAGACCTCCCCAATTCTGCAGCATCCGTAAAACCCCAACATCGTCACGACCGCCCAACGAAACCAACCTAGGCTCATGGCTAGACTGATCATGGCCTCGAAGATGGGCTCCGGAAGTGGAGGCCGGTGCTGCGTAGGCTCCAGACGCTCCCAGCGACTCAAGGTTTCCCATCCAGGCTTCAGCAATGGACGGCAGAGAGGGCACCGTCGCTGAGCAGTCGCGAGCAGCTGTCGAAAGTGTTGTAGCGGAGCACCGCTGCTATAGAGCACTTGCCCGAACGCACACAGCATCTCGACAAGGACCTCGGGCACCAGCGACACAGTGTTAGCCGCATCCTTGCCGGCGCCCTCGACAACCCAGCTCAAGAACCTCGACCAGATCGCAACCTGCAAAGCGGCCGTAGTCGGCTCCACCATCGGAACATCACGAAGGAGTAGGTCAGGTCGCTCGGGTCGTCGGCGAGGTCCGGGGTGGCTCGCTTCACCAATGCGGGCGGACCCACACTTTGCGCACCGAGCGATGTCAAGCGGTCTGCACTCGACAATCCACTTAGCGTCCTGGCACAGGGCTTGCGCGAGCAGAAGGCACAGGCGTCTCGGATAAGGCTCAGCAAGCTTTGTCATGGTACGTCCAGTCCCAGGCTCACGACCTCGAAGACGGCGGTGCGAGCACAATCCCCCGCACCGCATTGTTCGACCGCCCAGTTGGCCGTTGGTCCTTAGACGAGCCCGCTTGTCTCCAGATCCAACTGTTCAGCGGGTTCTCGACGATGTAGATCAGTCCTTCGTGGAGACACAGCTTGACCAGGCAGAGGATGAAGCCGAGCATGGCGTTGCCTTGTCTCACTTTGCTTGCTTGCTCCGGCAGCAGGCCCGGTTTCCCTTCAGGGTGCTCGATGTCTCTCCAGCTTGGCGTGATTGCCTGTGAGAAGCTGGCACAAACCGGCCCAGCGCTAAATCCCCGAAATGCCCCCGCACCGAAAAGCTCGACGATCTCAGCTTGAATGTCAACGCTCAACAGGTCCTCATCCTCCCCGTGTTGAATATCATAGCAGAGAATCCAGCATGGCGCGGCACGGGCGAGAGCTTTAGCTAACCCTCGAGACCCTGAAAACAAGTCAAACCAGCCCCTCCCCCCCCCAAGAGCAGTCCTCAAATCGGGAAAGACGGAAGAGTAGACGAACCGACCAGGAGGAAGTGAGCTGAGCAAGTCAAGGGCTCGAGAGCTGATCGGAGAGGAAACCGAGCTAAGGCCAACTCGGGGCGCATGGGGACGCCGAACGGTGGAAGGCTGCAGGTCATGTCTCGACGGCTCAACCCGAGGGGAACCGGAGACGTGCACACAGGGCTCAACCCGAAGGGAGCCATTGACACGCGTGGAGGCAGCTGAGCAAAAGTGCTCAGCATCATGGGCCCTCGTGGGGCTGAGAATCGGATCCTGCACAAGTCCTTCGGGAATGATTCCGGCAGCACTTTGGGGGCTCCATACGGACCACATTGCAACCCAGAATCAGGGTCACCGCTAACTGGCAGATTGAACCTCAGGCTTTCGAGCTCCTCGCGTAAAGTCGGATCAAGTCGCTCAAAGTCACGGATGACAAAGGCGGCAATGATCACTCGCCGACCCTTCCAAGGAAAAGTGGCGTGCAACCGATGCGGGTCAAAGAACTTAGGCTCGCGTCTCACATCGAGCAGCTCACCGAACTTTGTGGCACGGCCTACGTTGAGAGGT